GTATTTTTGGGAAACTATTGGTTGTGTTGACAGTGATCTTACCTGCTTTCTACATCTTGAGTGGACAAGTCACCTTTATTGAAGATTCCGATGTTGTCGTCATGCCAGATCTCAACTATGTCTGGGTACCATTCTTGGTAAAAAAATCAACTTGAGTTTTAAATTATAAATGTGATGAACAGATCTGCAAACTTTCTTATTGATTTTCATTTCTTGTTGTACTCTAAAGTGTGGTGAAGAACTGAATGAATAACAACAGATTTTGTTTTGGTCCAACATATTTTTTTAGTAAAAGTACAGAAAATGTGTACTTTCTGGTGAGAACTTGATTGAAAACATGATATACCCCGGTAAACCCAGTACATAAATTTGCATATATGTATCAAAATATTCATTATACTACAGTCAAAATTTGAATACCAACGCCCACTTTCCACACTGTTTACCCACAAATTTGCATAATTATTGCCATGTTTTAGTAAAAAATGTATCAAAGGAATTTAAGTCCATTTGGTCTTAAAAAAAACAAAATTACAAAAAAATACAAAAAATGTGGACATATAATGGTGGGAAATCATGGCATTAAAGCACGGTAGTCGTTGCGCCACGCATGTGCGAGATATATGGGTCTCATATAAACAACGATGGCAACTTTGACTGTTGCGCAGATCAACGAGTACAAACTGAGTGCAAGTCACACCCAGGTCAAACCTCATACTTGTGATTTCCATTTGAAGAGCGCATTGGATTGTGGGAAAATCAATGTTTATCAACACAAATGTCGAACATGCGAAGACTACCCCGCTTTAATTAAAGTAAAAGATGATTGTTTTCAACAGTTAAAGATAAAGTAATAACAAATGTATCAATTGTATCAAAAACAATTTTATATTAATATTTATGTTATCATAATTTCTCTTTTTGTTTGCTTTATGTAGTTAATTATTATTGGTGCGTATATAATCGCGTCATGTTTCTTTGGTGTTTATGACATGGCCGTGGACACACTTTTTATTTGCTTCTGTAAGTATACTGTAAAATTACTGAACAATTTTATTATTATTATTGTTAATAAAATTAAAATTAATTTTGCCTAAATTTGCAATTCCAAATAAAATGGCTAAAACAATTTTACTTTTTACACCTTGTTGGTATTAAGTTTTGAAATTGGGATATGGTACATGAATGGCAATCATTTTAAATTGTAGATTTTGTAAAGGCAGCCATATTATGATATTCATTATAAAAAAAACTATTAGTCAATTACTGAAAATGTCTGAGTTAGTACAATGTATTGCATGATTTAATACAAATAAAAAATATTATTATACATCTGTCACCGTAATGACATAAGTTACAGAGTGCCGTAATTTTGCGGTATTTTACAGAGTATATGCGAATTCCAAATATGGAATGATTAGCGCATAAGCGTCTTGTAATTATAAAAACAAACATGGCTGCCACCAGAGTTTGACCAGACTGATTCTGTTCTAAACATTTTGGATTTCAGCATTCCCATGATGTATCCTTGGAAGGCAAAGATGTATAATAAATAATAAGGTTATTACGAGAATACCTCAAGATATGCACTCAGACAGTACGCCACGCATTGACCTCCGCTGCACGTCGGTCGATACTCCAGCTGTACCATCTTAGTCCATACTTTGAGGTATCCTCGTAATAATCTTATATTATCCCCTGCATAGCATCTCACATATAATGCCAATTAACTATTTTTCAGTGGAAGACTTAGAACGTAATGATGGTACACCTGAGAAGCCCTATTACATGTCAAAAAGTCTCATGTCTATCTGCGGAGTAAAGAATAAAAAGCCAAAAAAAGAGAAAAAGAAGAAGAAAAAATAATTTAGACGCCGGATTACATGTTGCCAATTGTTTTCAAAAACACTTTTTAAAAAATTGTGCTTATGTTTAAAATTATGTATAAATATTTAAGCGAGAGAGTCGTCACCTACGCATGCGTCAGATGGCCATAGCGTGTCACTGTTTACAGACAAGTGTCTACCTATGAGCCTTTGGGACAGGTGACAACACTCCTGCTTTAAGCAATATTAAATGCTGTATATATTCTTTTAAAAATTTCCTTTTCATTTTGTATTATCTGCAGAACACACCCCCTCTAATTATTGTGATGACCATTAAAAGTGATAAAATCAGTTGGTATGGCAACCATTCTTGAAATATTAAAACTGAAGCTAACCTGCACCAAATCATGCATCCTTAATTGTTTTAATCACTCAAGACTACATTACTTTTTTTAGAAGAGCTTTCTTAATTCTATTTTAGAATTATTTTGGATAATATTACTTATAAACTATACATTTTCAAATATTTTTTGAATATTATTTTGATTGACATTTCAAGTGTGTGTGTTTGTAACTACCGTTATCAGGTTTTTTTCTAGAAAAAAAACTGCAAGAGGGGGCACTGCAATTCAGTGGCACCATCAAGTGGAAGAGATAGGGTTCTCCCTACCAGGGTGTGGAGTTTTTGATAATTCTAAGTTAATAAAATAGAGCATTCTATGGCTTCCTTGGGCCCAAAATTACTATCAGACAGGTCACAGTTGAAGACTGTGGCCACATGTGATCCCTGGTCAATCAGAATTTCATGGTTGCCTGGATCTGCTCCCCAGGGTAAGGGGCTCATGTCCATGGCATGAGGGCGCTGTGCCCCTATTCCCTTATTTAAAAAAATCCCTGCCGTTATAATGAATATTGTTTGTGGTTTTTTGTGTTGTTATATTTATCTATTTTACATATGTATATATATCCCTGATGTATTTACTGTTTAGTTAACAAATGATTTTTTTCTGATATACTTTTATAATATTTTTATAATAATTGATTAATTTTGTAATCATTATGCATACATATCAAAACAAAAAGTTAAAAAAAATCAAAACATTCATGTTATTTTTGAACCAAAAAATCCACTTTAGTCATGTTGATTATCCTTGAACAAAAAAAAAACTCATGACAGGGACTAGCAACCATGGACAATCCTTCTCAATTCTTTACTGTATCTTTATGATAAGTATAGTTTTAGTTTTTTTAGAATAGTTTGTTATACCTTTATTACATTTGTATTCACCTAAATTGAATTTCTTTCAATATGGTTGTAATAAAGAATTGTCTTATCTTACATAAAAAAATATCAAAATTTAGTAGGAAAATAATGCAGAATCACAACATGAGGTTACTACACTGTCTACATAACAGATTGGAGCCAGTAATCGGTCTTCACCAATATTACAAAAAATATACATATAGAACTAATGAGGAGTGTATAATTTAAAACATGTCTGAATTTAAAACAGATCAGACAAATAAACACAAAAACAAAGCAACAGAGACAATGATAATGATGACAAGTTGACGACACAAAAGTATTGCTGAAATCACAGAGTACTTATCAGTAAGGTAAAACTAACCTGTCTCACGACGGTCTAATCCCAGCTCACGTTCCCTGTAAAGCGTTGCAAAGCAAAGTGTAAAAAAGCTGGATTTAGAATGTTTTGTTGCATGTCATACACTCCAAACATGATGCTGTGAATTTTGTATACCAGATTCGGCTGATACCCTGCCCATCCTAAACCCTGCCCATGGGGGGTGTTTTGAATAGTGGGCGATGTTTTGGTCCACACAATGCTTGACTGAACCAACAAACATTTTAACAGACCCCAATTTTGCCGTTCGACATCTTGCATCTTGTGTACTATTTCAAATATGACGCTAAAAATAAATCACTGTGAAGTCGCAACGCTTTTGAGCAAACATTACCCAAAAAGATTTTCTCTTGGTATACTCTTCCGTAATAGTAAACTGGAATGTTTGGTCAAAATAGCAAGTTAATGTACTTTGAATAAAAATCTCTGAATACTAACAAGTTATTTGGAGAAGTTAAGGTGAAATATTTTCAACTGATTTTGTTTTTGCTGTCTTTAATTCAAATTGACATTACCATCAACACCATCCTTCATATTGTGAGCTTTAATGCAATATTTTATATGATTTTAAATTAGTAATTCTGAAAAAATTTGTAAAAAAGAAAAAATATTCATGTGCAGTATATGTATGTAATTTTAATTATTTTTATAACATTTTCTTTATGTTAAAAATTCTAATAAATAATCACTATTATATGAAGCATGTCTGTGTCATGTTTTAATATTTATATAATTATAGTGCATTTATATATTAAATATTTTATTTTATCTCATGGCAAAGGAGATTTTGACTGAAATGTTGTTTTATCATACTGTAAAGCATTAAATTCACACTACAAATAGATGTTCATGATTGAACAAATTGCTCAAGTCACTGCGACTCAAGCAATTCATTCATTTACAAAAAAAATTCCCTGACTTGAAAAATTCTTAAAACACTAAGATAGTTTTAACACTAAAAACTCATGGATTATTTAAAATTATTTGAAACAATTTGTTTAGACATGAAATTCAGAATTTTCACGAAAAATGGCAGAATTTGGATATTTTTGCATTTCAGTTTTATGAATGAAAATATATATAAAAATGCTTGTACTGTTAGGTATGTTATGTTAGTGTTAGAGTATACACTTTAATATGCGAATGACAGAAGTGTGTTTATGGTAAATAAAATCACATAATCAATTAATCACATGTTAATGATCTGTTATCCTCGGGCAGACATCCAGGAATTTTGATCGCCTGGCAACCATCACGGTGAAAACAAAGACCGAAAACTCAGAGAAAAACGGTACTTTGGGATAGTTGTTGAGACTCCCCTGAACAGTGTAACAAGATTATCCATGTGTGTGTAACGCATATAAATTTGATTATTCAGGATTACTTCAGTTGAGTTTGTGTTTTTTTATCGAATTTAGCTGTTTTCATTGGCTCTTCAATCGGCGTTCCACAGCAGCTCGCACAGAGTCCATAGAAATACATGGCAGAGTGTTGTCAGCTGTTGCCATGCAATGGCTAATAGCATATGTGATATTTACAGAGATGGTAAGAGATACAGACGGATTAAAACTGAATGAAAAACCCATTTTCTTCACGAAGTCAACAAACACTCCAATAGTTAAAGGGAAGTGCATCGCAACATGTGCTGTTTATTTCCACAGAATTTAAATGCACATGGCTGTGATGACCATTGACCACCGAAAGAAAAAAATCATATTTTAAATCTTACATATCGCTAATACATGAAGCCTGATTCACATTTCGATACTCCCATAGCCATTATTTGAGATATACCTCAATTGTTTTGTTTTTTTAGATATATTTTCAGTGTCCAGTATGTTTGGATTTTCTTTATCTGCCTTTGTTTCTTAGCAACGACAGAATTTCTAGATAATCTGTTGTTGCTAGCCTA